GAAGAGGAGGCTGAGGGAAGACCTTATTGCTCTCTACAACTACCTGAAAGGAGGTTGTAGCAAGGTGGGGGTCGGTCTCTTCTCCCAAGTAACAAGGGATAGGACGGGAGGAAACGGCCTCAAGTTGTGCCAGGGGAGGTTTAGGTTGGATATTAGGAAAAACTTCTTCACTGAAAGGGTAGTCAGGCACTGGAACAGGCTGCCCGGGGCAGTGGTTGAGTCTCCATCCCTGGAGGTATTTAAAAGACGGGTAGGCGTGGTACTCGAGGACATGGTTCAGTGGTGGACTTGGCAGTGTTAGGTTAACGGTTGGACTCGATGATCTTAAGGGTCTTTTCCAACCTTAACGATTCTATGATTCTATGATTTGAAAAGACACCCCCCAAGCCTGCTCTTCTCCAAGGAAAATGATCAGAGTTCTTTCAGCCTCTCTTCGTATAGCGCGTGCTCCAGTCCCATCTCATCTTACTGGTCCTCCTCGGCACTTGCCCCAGTATGTCTATGTCTCCCTTTTACTGGGGAGCCCAGAACCAGCACTCCAGATGCATCTTACCCGTGCTGAGTAGCAGGGAAGGATTGCTTCCCTTGACCTTGCAGGCGATGCTCTACCTAATGCAGCCCAGCAGGCTGTTGGCCTTCTTTGCCACAAGGGCACACTGCCAGCTCCTGGTCAACTTCTTGTCCACAGGACCATCAGGTCCTTTCCTGCTGAGATGCTTTCCAGCTGGTCAGCCCATGTCCTTCTCTCTTCAAGTCTGTCCCTGCATTGGCTCTGCCCAGGTTTGCTGGGAGCCACAGTAGGCTTTATCTCACCTAACGTTAACAGTCCACGGTATAGGCACCTGTCCGGCTCCCATTACAGGCAGTGATGCCTGCAGTCGCTTCTCTGCTTGTGTAATCTGCATTAGGGTTAGATGAATGCGTAATCCATTCACTAGATCCCCAGTGGCAATCATAAGATGCCACTGGGCACACTGGTCCTAGTCCTGGACCTGGTCACTGGTCCTTCTGCTGATGTGGACGTGTCTGACCCTGTTCTTCCAAAATGCGTTCAGTACTCCAATGAAAGGAAGGTAATGCTTCTCCTCCCCATACCAATGCAGAAACAGGCAGATGCTGAGACCCTCCGAGAGTGTGACGAGGACTCGTTAGATACTCACATGCCACAAGAATTTCTCCAACAAAGCAAGAATCTTTACTCACACTGGTAACAGAACTGCTTTTGGCTATTTCTCTTCCTAAAGAGGACCAGAAAAGTCAGCCTATCACTGTGGAATGTAAAAGAGGAGACAAGATCATTTGTAATAAAGTACCCTTGGAAAACAAGAAAAACTTTACACTGAGGTGAGCAGGGATTTACAATGTTTTCCGTTTCTTAAAGCAATTTTCATATAATCGCAGTCTCTCCCAAAAGTTCACCAGCCCTAAGAATCTTTAACTCCCGGGGAGTTTGGTCCTAATCTCCTCTAAACTGTGGCCTGTAGCACTGGCTGGCATTTATTCACATACTTAGAAACATTACACAGAGCAAGCCAAGGGTTCCGACAGCTGTTGAAACTACACGAGAGGCGTTTCAGGCCTGATACAATTGAGAGAACAACAATAGAGGAGGAACCGATAGGCACCAATGAACAAGTTCACCCATCCCTGCAGCATCAAGGGCTGCTGAAGGACAAGAGAGTCCAAACTCAGGCTCTGGTGTATAGCTGAAGCACGCAGGATCTGAGGCAGATATCGGAAAGGGTACAAAATCACTGAGATGGCACACAGAATACCTCCTCCGTGGGCTGGAAACGCACTCTGTGGAAGGGGAAAGAAGGCACTCAGTTTCTTTCAAGTTGGGGAACTTCCCTGCAGGCAAGGGCCCACAGGTCACATTACAGGCCCAGACTGCTCTTCAGAGTCCTTCTTCATCTTCGCGTACGTGGCAGGGCAGAACTGAGAATACAGCTGAGCCAGCAAAGCCTGGGATGTGATGTCTAGCCTTGTCCCGTGGCTCAGTTTGTTCCATAAGTGCACCGCGTACGTGTTCTTAAGAAGCTTGTGAAGCTCCGAGGAGCTGATTGTATCAAATAACTTCTTCCAGTCCTCCCAGCAAATAGGATAAAAGGCTTCTGGGGAAAGCGCATGCACCCCTTTGCAGGTCGTGTTGTTCTGGATAGTACTGATGGAGCACCACTTCTTGAAGGCATGCGTTAGGAGATGAGGGCCCTGGTGAGCCCAGATCCAGCCATTGTAGTTCTCCACAAATTCCTGCATGCAAAGCTTCATGAACTCATGCTTGGGTGTGAAGGACAGAAAGGCCCCATTCAGTACATCCTGAGACTGCATACCGAGGGCATTGGTGAGGTTGTTCAAGTTCTTAAGCACAATGAAATCGGTGTCCAGGTAGATGCCACCAAATTTCCACATGATGGCAATCCTGCAGGCGTCAGACAGGACGGGTAAGAAATAAGGTTCCTTCTGATGCTCAGACTGCAAGTACCACTTTGCCAGAGGTGTCCCTGAGAAAAGCTCCTCCAAGTCCAGGGGCCGGATTTCCACGTTAGGGAAGCAGCTCAGCAACGAGAATGCCCAGTGGCTGGGTAATGAGACGTTACCATTTGCCAAGCCTTTCATGAGCACCACAATCCTTTTCCCAGGGTGCGTCCGGGCTGCTGACTCCACAGAGCACGTGAACAGGTAACTTGGGTTAGTTCGCTCCGAGGTCTCCACAAAAAACACATCCCCTAGGGAAGGAGGGGGCCCACCGGCAGTAGGATGGGGATGGTAAGGGAAAAACTGAGCACACCTGCTTTGTGCAGGCAAGCTGTAGAGCTGGCCCTCAGCATCCTCCCCAGTGCTCCAGTAGAACACAGCAGTGGCAAAGAACACAAATGAAATGGTGAGGATAAACAGAGCCTCCAGCCTGTGGCTCAGCACCACAGTGGTCAGTTTTGGCAGGCAGCTGGACATCCTGGGCAGTCTCGGTCCCGTTGGAGCCTGCTCTCCCAAGACAACTGTCGTGATCTGAAGGGGAGAAAAGAAGAAAAAGACACTGACAGTCAAGGCAGCAGACCACCAGCCTTGGGGCAGTGCAACAGCAGAAGAGAACTCTCCTTCCTTCACCTCAGGGCAGTATGCCTCAATTATGCCTTTTGGTCATTTCTGAAAGAGTCTCCTGGCTTCTCCATATTGTCACAGGGCCTTCAGGTCCCTCATCAGAAACTATTGCCCATCTTTGGATCCCTCTCTTTCAAACACAAAATAAGGATAAGTCTCTCCTTTCTGTATATCACAAACCAAGACTGATCCTCAGTTCTGTCCATGTATATTATCCATGTAAGTTGTGCTTGCCACTTGGAAGGCTATACAGCATTTGACGCACAAATGGCATACCTTCATGGTGGTGCACAACAAACTCTGGGAACAGCATTAGAGATGTTATCTGTCATATTCTAGAATTTCAAGTCATTCTGGACATGAGACATATATTCAAAAAGCCTAGGACGAGGAAATAGGAATGGTCGCTATGGATATTCATGAAGCTCTGTCAACAGACATTGGGTGGAACTGCTGCCCCGATGAAAATTTTTTCTCATTATGAGAATTTTTTCCCCTGATACACAGCCTGTACTTCCCCGAAACCAAACACAATGCTAAACCCCCAATGCTGTCATGAGTTCCTACCAAGCAGCCTCAGTATCCCAGAACCTTTCGAAATCAACCACTCACCCATACAGAGAGCCTGGCTCATTTTTCATGGCACTGTAGCAAAGCAGAATGGATGGATAGTGGGAGGGGACTTGATACAAGGCAGCTTTGGAGGCAGATGCAGACAATAAGGACAAGAACTGCCCAGGTAAAGAGAGTTTCAAAGCTGCTTCCCAAGCCTGCTCCCCTGCCAAGTCCTCACTTCTACCTCCTCTGGTAGATGGTGCTGCCTAAGCCAGCTGTCACCAATCCAGGATGCAAAGGCGATGCTGGCTGTGACCTGCTCAGCTCTGCCAGTGGAATCATCTGGTGATGGATATGCAATCCCCCCTCCACCCTACCCTTTCTTCCTCTCTTCCTCCTGCAAAATGGGGGGATGGAGAGGAAGAGATTATTAACAAGGAAGCAACAAAAAAAGAAGTCATTTTAGCTACATTCTCAGCATTAGCATCAGCATTTCTGCCCTTGCCTCCCCTTAAAGTGAAGGACAACAGAACGAGCACCTCCTTGGCCCACAACTGGGGCCCCAAAGGTCAATGCACAAAAGCACATGAAGAAGCAGTGAGGAGGATTGTGGCATTTAGGACGACAGGAAACAGCCTCAAGCTACGCCAGGGAGGTTTAGATTGGATATCAGGAAAAATTTATTCACTGAAAGAGTTGTTAAGCATTGGAAGAGGCTGCCCAGGGAAGTGGTTGAGTCCCCAACCCTGGAGGTATTTAAAAGATGTGTAGATGTGGTGCTTAGGGACATGGTTTAGTGGTGGACTTGGCAGTGCTAGGTTAACAGTTGGACTCGGTGTTCTTTAAGGTCTTTTCCAACCTAAATGATTCTATGATTCTATGATTTCTCCTGCCTCCCTCTGTCCCCCCTCCAAATCGAAATCCCCATGCTCCAGGACACAAAGCTTCAGGAAACAGCAAAAGCTTTCATCTGGAACCAAACAGACAGGCAACAGGACAGAGAACCCAGCTGGCACAATGCCATTTGTCATTCACATCTGATTCCTGCAACTGGGTCACATACTAAACTCCCCATGTAGCCTGAAAATAACTTGTCAGACACACTGCAAGGTTCCCAAATGCAACAGCACGGAGCCACCGCTCTCCACTAGGCACTGGGGCTCTGGGGACAGACGAGAGGCCGCCAATACACAAATTGTCAGCTCTGGAGTCCCAGAACATTTTCTTCTCCTGCACAGAAATGCCAGCATGTGCTGTGGGTGCTACGTGCAGCGAAAAAACCCCACTCTGCTTTTTACGTACCTATTTCCCCCTCCCTCCACACTGCAGCCTGTTGAATCCTATAAGTCATTTCTAGCTTGGTGAACTGTAAAAGAGAAAGCAAATACAGGCTTGAGGGGACAGAGCCTTTGCTGTAGAGAAGGCAGGAAAGCGTATCTCTAATCTAACAATGAGCAAGCTTCAAGGCTACATGCATATTTTTAGTAAGAGGAGGAACTTCTACTACAATTTCACTTCTATATATTTAGAAATACATTTGTGCTTCTGTGGCGGATAAGCGGACATTTTAGACGCTTCATCAGCCAGTCCATTTATTTCACAAAACAAACACAGGAAATCTGGCTCTCTACCTTCCTCAGAAACTTCAAGTCCCACTCACAGAAACTACAAATACTACTCACCTGTCCCTGCTTTCAAGACACCACAAAAGGCACTGCTCAGCTGGACAAGATTTTGAAGAGGTTAGTGTCTCTCAAAGCTTCAGGAAACAGCAAAAGCTTTCATCTGGAACCAAACAGACAGGCAACAGGACAGAGAACCCAGCTGGCACAATGCCATTTGTCATTCACATCTGATTCCTGCAACTGGGTCACATACTAAACTCCCCATGTAGCCTGAAAATAACTTGTCAGACACACTGCAAGGTTCCCAAATGCAACAGCACGGAGCCACCGCTCTCCACTAGGCACTGGGGCTCTGGGGACAGACGAGAGGCCGCCAATACACAAATTGTCAGCTCTGGAGTCCCAGAACATTTTCTTCTCCTGCACAGAAATGCCAGCATGTGCTGTGGGTGCTACGTGCAGCGAAAAAACCCCACTCTGCTTTTTACGTACCTATTTCCCCCTCCCTCCACACTGCAGCCTGTTGAATCCTATAAGTCATTTCTAGCTTGGTGAACTGTAAAAGAGAAAGCAAATACAGGCTTGAGGGGACAGAGTTCGTTCTTCCATGTAACAGACACAGGAAATCTGTCTCCCTACCTTCCTCTGAAATTGCAAGTCCCACTCACAGAAACTACAAATACTACTCACCTGTCCCTGCTTTCAAGACACCACAAAAGGCACTGCTCAGCTGGACAAGATTTTGAAGAAGTTAGTGTCTCTGACAGCGCCTATAACTCTATGGTCTGGCACTTCCTTTTTGTGAAAAAAAAAATGGTGAAAGGTGGAGTCTAAACACATGGAGATAACATGCAAATCAAGGAGGATGTGACACCATACATTCAGGTAATACGTTGGCTGAAAGAAGGGTCATGCAGCTGATGGGTCATTTGGCTGCGCTGTGAAGAACCCATCTAATCAGGAAGGAACCAGCAAAAAAAAGGAAAAAAAAAAAAGAAGGAAAGGCTTATCGCTACACTTTAAGCTTTATACTGTGGCAGGAAACTGCTTTGCTGTTTTCTACTCCTGTGCTAAGAATTCCCAGTGCTCACGCTGCTTGGGTGGCTGCCACAAGAACTGAGCTGAGAGTTTCATAGAGCTGCCTCCTCCCACCCCAAGACTTCAGTTCTGAATACTGCCTTGAACACACGCTCTCTCGACCAATTAATTCACTCATCCATGTGGGAATACTCCCTCTTACGCCGGGTACTTCATTGTACTTGACTTTGCCAAATTCAGGTGTCCCTCATTTTATGATAGAGTTCCCCCTTCTCCCTGTGCTCCATGGCGGCTGACCTTCCCTTGCAGAAGACACGTGGACACGTTCATAAAATATCACCTTTATCCATACAGCCACTAAGTTTAAGGTTTAGTGCCGTTTCTACTCAGTTGCCCGCAACAAATGTCAGGCCTAATGCTCTGTAGCTTCCCAGACCCCTCCCCAAATCCTTCCAAGCACTGCAGCACCACGGACGGACTCCTAAGATGCCAACACTGGGGAAGCTCTTTGGAAAGCACCTTAAGCTGTTCCCAGCCCTTTCATCGATGGAGCTCTTCAGGCCTCAGGTCAGGCTCCATCTAGTCACAGAATCACAGAAGTGATTGGAAGGCACCTCTGGAGATCATTTGACCAACCCCCCTGCTCCAAGCAGAGTCGCCTCGAGCTGGTTGCTCCGGACCATGTCCTCTTCGCTTCTGACCTTGTCCGAGGACAGAGACTCCACAGCCTCTGTGGGCAACCTGCTCCAGTGTTTCACCACCATTTCTTTCATTCTAATTTCCCCTATTTCAATTTGTGCCCATTCTGTCTCATCCCGTCACTGGATTCCACAGAGAAGAGTCTGGCTTGTCTTCTTTACCCCACCCATCTCCAATCAGGTCCTTACACACAGAAAGGAACAGGAAGACCCACCTCATTAACACGTGGCTCAGAGGCTGGTGCCAGCGGTGGAATTTGGGGTTTTTCAATCGTGGGGCAGTTTACATGGCACCAGGCCTGCTGGAGACAGATGGGGGTTCACCTGTCGCAAAGGGGGAAAAGGATTCTGGCTCAGGAGCTAGCAGGCCTCATTGCGAGAGCTTTAAACTAGATGCAAAGGGGCAAGGGGATAAGACCAGGCTTGCTAGGGATGAGCCTAGGGGTGGCATGCCTGTGTTGGAGAAGAGATCTATAGCCCAACTGAAGTGCATTTACACCAATGCACGCAGCATGGGCAATAAACAGGAGGTGCTGGAAGCCACTGCACGGCAGGAAAACTA